GTTTATGGGTCTCTGTTGCCTGTCAGAAGCTCAGCAGGAGCTGAAATAATTTCCGTCAAAAAAGTAATCAGAGATTGTCAGCTGGGGATAAGCTATAATGTGACAGATTACAGCCCAATTTTTGCGGGTAGTAAAACAAAAACCAAAAATGAAAACCCAGAAGGCTCCATGTCCTTACCCTCAGCTACGGTGAGCAAGTTGCCGAAGTCGGTGGTGGTGGTCTGGGAGGGCGGCGGCTCGAAGCTCTTAACCTGACCCAACATGAGGTCATAGTCAGTGGACAAGTCTGACAGGCTGAGGAGGTAGTGGCTCTGTTGGGTGTGCAGGTTGGAGCCGGACACACAGCAGTGCAGCACCTGAGGATTCACAGAGGAAGGCTCGGACTTAGTGATTCCTATTAAGTGCGCCTGGGTAGCTTTTCTACAGAATGACAGTGAAATGCACTTTGATGGCTGAACTTGAACTTTGATGTGTAAAAGACATCGTCCTGTTAGATGTGCTGGTGTCTGGTCAGACGGGACAGTGACACTCCTGCAGGCCTGCTACAGATCGACATGAACCAGGAGCATATGAAAGGGGAATATATGGTCCATTTACATCATAAGGCGATGGAGGAAGGGAGGGAGAGAAGGAGAGAAAAGAGGGTCTTTACTGCCACTAATCCATTTCTCCTGTGATGTGCGAGTGTATCGATCTACATAACAGATGGCAGAGCATCCGTTGGCAGGGCTAGATAAGACGCACTGGGGCAGTTGATTACAGCATTGGACAGGTTTACACTGTTTGATTTAATTAGGACTTTATCCCTGTGCTCAGCTCCCACCACGAACATGCACGCTCAGCCACACAGACAAACACACCTGTATACTGTATAATCTGAGTGGAGGGAAGGTGCCGCATAAGAGTGGCTCAAACATATGCCTAATGTATGTAAATGAGGGGGCCTCTCATTCAGAGTCGAGCAACTTGGGTAAAGCCATGCAAAGGCTAATCCCATTCAGTACACACATGCACTCAAACTTGGCAGAGAGACGCTCTGAGAGGCAGGCTGGCCCTGACATCTGAAACAGTATTGTGTGGGGCAATGTAGACAGTATGTGGATGATTCTACCGAGCAGACCTCTGGGTGCATGGGGGAGGGATTGAAGGCTTGAAGCTGAAAAGACCTGAACCAAACAGCTGCTACACCAAAGCCCCAAAGAGCTTCCTCCGTGGAGAGGTGGAGAGACAGAAAGGGAGGGGGGGGACCCACAGCTGTGCTTGACAACTAAGTGACTGCACTTCGCATAGCAACAGTTCCTGGAAGGTAACACACAGTGCATACTGTAGTTAAAGGGCCACATATTGTATGGACACGTGAATGCGCCTGTGTACGGACATAAATCAAATAATAAAAATGTAAACAGAGACAATGGTGTGCACATGCACAAATGCATCTCACACACACACACACACACACACACACACACACACACACACACACACACACACACACACACACACACACACACACACACACACACACACACACACGGTGGTGCAGCTGGCTGCCGAGGCAAGCTGAAAGAGCAGATGGAGAAGCTTGAGCAGAACTCCAGTGAACCAATGAGGTCTAATGCAATGTTGCCTTTTGCATTGATCTGCATGCTGTTAGTCCCCAAAACTTTTTTTTCACTTTTCTCATCATCTCAGAATAAATAGCATGAAAACCTTTGCGTTAGCTGGTGTTTGATGGCTTGGTATATGTTCAATATAAAACTGTAATTAAAGAAAGTTGAAGCATGAAAAAATAAATGGACCCTCCGTGCTACCTTGTCAGTGACGGTGGCCAAGGATGGAATAAAAGGGAGATTACTTTTCTATTAGGGAAGCTATTCGCCGCTTGAATAATTAGCAGCCAAGGCATCATTGGAAATTTATAGATTTTAGTCTTGATATTGCATTAATTTTGTCACACCTTGTGATGCTTTGCTTAATATATGATTTCCAATGAAACCAAGAGGGGCCATGCCTTTTGTGTGCTGATAGACAACCAATCATGCCTAATTGTCTTTGCTTCCATAGCAGCTGCAGTTGCTCTCATATTAAGACATATTCTATTCAAATCTCCAGGACAAGCGTTTATAGCCTGAGCTTATCAACTGGACAAAGGGTCCCGTTTGAATAATTGGACCATTTCTTATCAGGGGTGACATCCTTACAAAGATCTGCCGTTGACCGCATCTGCCCAGACAGGAGGGAATGAATAATACCTCATTCATTTGTGCCTGAAGCTCGGCCATCATCCTCTGGGTCAGACCGTAAAATAAAGCGTTAGAGGGACAGATACGGAGAACTAGATTGAACGCTGCATATTTTGCCTCTTTTAAGCAAATGCAGTGAATGCTACTACAAAGCAAGTTGAAGGGGTTTCCTGAATATGATAAATGCCAACCGCATGCGTCGGGTGCTTCTTTGCTGTTGTGCCACTATAATGTTAAATGAGGCATAGTCATGAGGTCACGGCGGAGGTGAGTCTAATTAAAGTGGCAAGCCCATTGGATGGGGAGGGGGTGGAGGTGTCAAAGCTTAAGTTATTGTGTCTGCAGGCAAAGACTATGTATGTTTCAAGAGATACTGGAAAGCAGACGGTAGTAAAACATAGCCAGGTTTGTTTGTTGTAAACTTTTAGCTTTTCCCACCTCCCAGCTGCCAGTGAGGCTACCCACCCTGTAGATGTAGTCCAGCAGCGGGGCCTTGTGGGATGTGCGGTCCTCCAGTGAAGGCATGGTGATGGGTTCCAGCAGCAGACTCAGCGGAACGGCCATGCACCAGTCCAACAGGCAGAGCAGCAGTGACACCATCAACTGCGGAAGTGAGGAAGAAGTTTGGCCATCAAACATACATATACAGATATTATTACAGCAAAAAAAAAGAAAAAATAACTGAGAAAACACAACATGTAATCGACGACAACCGCAAAGACAGAAAATAATATAGAGAGAGGTAAAGAGAACAAATCACTTCAGCTGAAACATTCCTCTGCAAATGCACAATTCCAACATGGCAGACCGACGGCCTTTAGATCTCAGCCATGTCTTGTCCTTTCCAACATGTACCTTTTTGTCTGCTTCCACTGTTGAGTGCTCTGCGCTCGGCAACAAAAAGGCTATTGTGGCCACAAAGATCTGTGTTGGGACAAATCAAGGAGAAAGATAATTGGATGACACACTCCTATTCATCAGCTGAGTCAGGGCTGTGTGCTAAAATGGATGTGATGCCACAGGATGTCGAGTGTGCATATGCATGCGTAATGACTCATGTAAGACTTGCATTTAAAGGCTTAAGTGACTTGATCGTAATTTCGCACTCAATTTCTTACTTATAATATGTTTTCACAGGCCCCTAATGGCTACTGGCAATTTAACTGTGTGTTTGCAAGTGTGTGTGTGTGTGTGTTACCTCAATGATTTTCTTAGGCAGAGTGAGCTCCAACCTCTGGAGATGTTCCCAGTGAGAGATGAGCAGCTGAAACACGTCACAGGCCACTTGAGCCACGGCTTTGTTCCCAAACTGGACAAAAAATCAAATAAGAGGACGGGACAACGAGCCGGTCAACGATGCAAAGCATTTGGCTCCTTTTAGAAGAATCAGCACTCACAGAGAGAACATTTTTGTTGACGAACCAGTATTTTTCTGTCATACATAGAAATTCTTGTCAAATCGTTGTCAGACGATTTTAGACATTTGCTCTCCACACAGACCTGCATGCAACCAAAGCCCGCTGAAAAGTGATTGGTCGGTACTAGTCTGACTACAAACAGAAACCAGAACGTTTCTGATTCCAAAATCTTGTCCCGTTGCCTTCAGATTTTGCATTCATATTCAGCTGTTTACAGAGATTATAAATGACGTAAACAGAAACAGCGACTTCAAATTCACTGTAACTCCATAAATAATTGTGACAAATATTCCCGGGGGAAGATGGGGGGGGGGGGGGGAGTGAAGCTACTTTCTGAGTACTTTCCCTTAAATTGAGTTTTTCACTTACTGTGCATATAATCAGCGAAATTTCATTTCCTCTTCTTTGCAGGGAAAAATTGAGCGGTTGACAATTTTCTTCAAATGTGGATTTCTTTAGTGATTTGAAATTCTTTGTGGAGAAATAGAATTTCCCATTTCTTCCAGCTGAATGCCTCTCAACATGTAACAAGGGCAGACAAAGTGGGGAGTGCAGAAATGGCCAAACACAAAAAGGGGCCCTGAGAGTTCAGCACCTGCTTTTAGAAAAGAGACTCTCAGTGCCACTCTTCCCCCTAGATCCCCCACCCAGCCTATACCCTCTATTTTGGGGCTGGCTGAGTCTGTGTGTCAAGTTGTACAGGGGAGTGATTACTCCTCCATTAGAGAAGGGGGGTTGCTCGACCAGGAAGCTGGGAGATGTAGCTGCTTAAATTGGCCCACATCTACCGAGAGCGAGAAGCCTGGAAATTACGCCACCGCCCCAAAACCCTTTTCCATGAAAAAAAACCCAACCACGCACAAAAACAAAAAAAACACTCTCTCTGCATCTCTTCACTCAGGGAGAAAAGAGGGCTCTTCCAAAATATGCCCATGAGTCACATGATTGGACATGTTTTATTCTCACACTTTGTCCACTCACTATGTTGAAATTGTCCTGCAGTCCTTTTATGTAATCAACCATCATTTCTGCAGGAGCTAAACACTATAGGGCTTGTGTAGTAAAAGAAAAAAAGACTGTGATGAAATCCAAGCTCCCTACATCAATATATTTAAAGAACAATGTGGCCATTTCTATTCAGAATCTTTGCCACAGTTACAATCGTCAACACCGCCCATGATGCCACTAGTTTATTTTAGAAGTGCAGTTGTGTTCTGTAAATCATTTTGTACTCATAAGCGAGCGGATATCCATCTGCGAATGCAAGCGTCTTCGGCTCGGTGGGTCACTGACCTTCAGTGTTACTCCCAGAACATTGATGGCATCTTTGACCTGGTGGTGGATGTTGTTCTGCGTCAGCTCCTCACACACCCACAAGCCCAGACTGCACACAGCAATGCACCTGAATGACAGAAGCAGAGTGAAAACTAACTGGTGAATCGAAGATGCATTTGAATTGTACAAAATGTATTCAGAGTACTATACTACAATTAAAGTAGAAGGTGCTAAATTTCAAATTCAGCGCATATCTATGATTGTGGGATCGCCTCCTCCGGGCTCTCGACATGGAGACGGCTGAGCCGGCGGCTAGCATCGCACAGCATTTTTATGACAAATTAGTAAATGCTCTGTATCAATTAGCTTAATTAATTGTAATTCTGTATGTATGTAAAAACACATTCACATCAAACTAATACAAATAAATAGTAAAATGTAACCTAAGAAAAAATAAGCATCATCACTATTGCCGATCATACCTGGCCCCTTCACAGTGTTCCTTTGTTGCCTTCTCTAGCAAGATGTTGACCAGATACTCCTGAACCGCAAATCAAACAAACAACTTTACTCCATGTTCTCAAATGACAACTGAGGCCACTCACTTCATTTGATATATGTACCGTTGTGACAACCTTCAATGTAACATAAGACTTCTCCTAATATTCTCATTTTAGGAGAAAAGTGTAAAACTCTCCCTTGACTGTTCTTCACACTGCAGGTGACTAATCCGCTTAAAACATACAGTGAGCAGTCTTTTAGTAATCACATATATACAATATGCACATGTTGACCATTTACCTTGATATTCTCATCGCTTATGGTGATGTCATCAGAGCCCGGCACACGCTGCAGCACAGGAATCTGTCGATAAAGGTTGGGGAAACACACGAGGGAGCCCAGGATGGTCTGAGCCTCCATCCTTGGAGCCTGCATCAGATGAGAAAGAGAAGGCTATCATTCATTCCCTGAAGCTACGTGAAGATAACCTTCTTCAAGGAGTCGGGCAGTGGGGAAAAAGGATTGGGGGAATCCAGCAGAATTAATTGCATCTTTATTCATGATTCTGCCGATGCTTAACAGAATCCCTTGACAACAAAATGACGGATTAAATGGGCAATGGATGCAGCTGTAAAGCAGGTTGTCAATCTTGATGAAATTACCTGGCAACCAAAACATATAGTTCAGAGAAGTAAGAGACAGTCAAAACTAACTTTCCCATGTTTAAATCTGTGCATAATGGCAACACGGTTATCTTATCGGTCTGTCAACATCATCTCTACTAATTGATCCAAATTCGGCCAATGATGCAAAATGTTCACAAGCCTTTATTCATGCAAATGTACATCCGAACACAATTCCAAAAGACTGTGTACAGAGTACAGACTGTGTGTATCGAGCTTTAAACAATCACCTGTTTACATGTGTTTTTATGGCCGACTGCGTTTAAAGGCCACAATGACTGCGAACACATGTTGGTGTCCACAATGAATCAAACACTTTAAATCTGATGCTCTTTAATGAAACACATTCTGTCTGGCTAAGACATTAGTTTTAGCTTGAATTAAGTGCTCTTTGCTATATAAATACAGCAGCTGTAGGCCTTTGAGTTTTATTCATAGGCAATAGGTACAGCACAAAATGAAATTGACGTAATGCCAATTTCATTTTGCGCTATATGTCAATTGTGTAATAAACTTTACTTTACTTCCATAATCAATGATTCTATGGCAATATTGAGCAAAACAAATGTGTGGTATTCACTTTTTGTCTAAAATTTTGTCTAAATCCTGTCTTAAAGTACAATAAAACCTCAAAAATGAAACTAAATTTGTGTCATTTTGTCCCCTGAGATTCTCTTCTATAACTACTGGATTTGACAAAACAAGTTGTACTTTTCAAACGTCATCAAGCTGTAAAATTCAGATTTTTGTTATTATCGATCAGTTATGAGTGAGTGAATGAAAGACAGTAACTGAAGGTACGAAGAAGAATTCTGATTTTGCGTATTCTTTATCATTTCTTATAAGTACCATGCGTCTGAAAAGTTTTCAAAAAAAATGTGTAATATTTAACAACTTTTTCTAGTTTCTAGTAAATTACTTTGAGATTCCAGTTTGATTCGCATGATTAATCTGAATGTGAAAACGTGTGTGCGTACCTCTGAGGAGTCAGAGCTGAGAACGCAGGCAGCAGCAGTGATGAAATCTCCAACAAGCATGGTGAAGCCCGGCAGGCCGAGGAAGAAGAACCGAGGAGAGCAGGAACGGATGATGGTGTTCAAAACATCCTGATGACAAGCATGAACACACGCGCGCACACACACACACACACACACACACACACACACACACACACACACAC